GACGTCCTCCTGACATGAAAGGCATTATACAAATGTAATTTGCTGTTGTTGTCACTTGCAAATACAGTCACTACGCTTGACAGCAATTATCTGTGACGTTCTTTGAGATATTTTGCTCATATATGGACTATCAAATGCAAGTGTTGTTATCAATTATTATTATAATTACAACATGCCATCACTCAGGAAAAGGAAGTTACAATTAAGGACCTTCACCATTGTTTTGTTTTCAATCCACAAAATATAAAACAGGGAACTTGGAGCGTTTTCAATGTATATTTATCGTGTGGGGGAATATGAGGGAGAAAAACTGAGGGGGAAAGAACGTGATGCAAAACAATTGAGGAAATTGGGAAAAATCAGAAAAACATCACCACAGATTTATGCCCATGTTAAAGGCAGTCATAGAACACTACAACAGTTTTCCAGCAACAACAAGTTGCGTATATATAGCACCCTTCATGCCGTTCCAGTATAAATGCGAGTTGGGTAGCGTCTTGGAGCGCTGAATGACTGAACAACTCTGTGGTTTTCACAGCAAGCCTACCCACAGCTCTTTCACTCTCAGATAACTAGCAACAAACACTACACTAGTAACTCACTCGTCCTGAAGCAGATTACATTGGTGAGCTCGATTTGGGCACAAGTCAACAGGACCTCAATGTGCGTACATTCTGGAGCATGAAAAATGAGTCAGAGAATTCAGGGAGGCTTTGGAGAAATTTATGTTTTACACGGTCAACTTTCACCAAAATAAATCTAAGTGTGCAGTGCGAAAAACATTAAAAATTGATTATAAAGGTGACCTGTTATTTACTAATGTAATAGCTGGATTTGATAAAACTAACGCATTGTTGAAACATCTCAAAGCGCTTCACAGCATTTTACTGTAAAGCGTGACTTTGGGTTTGTAGGCACTTTGGTAGCAGCACAGCAATGTCCCACACAGTCGTGAAGTGATATCTATCATAGAAACAGCAACACTGAACAGAACATTGGCCTAGATTGTAAGCTCAAAGTCCCACATATGAGGCCTGGAATCCACAACTTTCTGATCTGAGAGTGAAGACGAGAACGTTACTGATTGAGCCGGACTGACACCTGCCCGTGTAACACAACGAGGAGCCGAGCTGAATTAACTTGTCCTGTGCTGCGTTTGCAATGATGGTGTGGCCTGTGCTTCCCGCAGCTGCGGAGATGATTTTGTGACTGATGATGAGTGAGTGTGAGACTCTTGTTCCAGTCCAATGTGTAATAGTATCGAATCAGTTACACACGAGGAATTGGCTGGAGAAATGAATTCAGCGTGAAAAATGCAAAATGGAATGTCAACATTGGTCTTTGGGATCCTCAATCACCTAAAATAACAATTAAGAGAATGAGTAAAGCCTAATATGTAGGGGAATTGTCGCCAAGCTGCCTGCAGGTATACACTCTGCCCAAGGCAGCACTAACTCACACAACAAAACAGTCCACAGTTTGAATGCATTTTGCTGCAGTTCTTAGAAAAAGAAGATCTGGCTTCTGATTTCTGGTTGAACTTAAGCGTTCTGAGAAGCTACCTCGAAGCGGATTGAATAAATGCAACTTGTTGTTGATTTTCCACAATTCTATGCGATGATATATTTGAAGATAAAATGATCCTTTTAAGATGAGGAGGAATTTCAGACCCCCTGATATCAGCTTGGCCAGCAGTTGAATTGACAATTGGTCTCAATGCCACCCAGGCTGAAGAGGGTAAAACAGCCAGATTTCCGGCTCCTGCTGGGGCTGAAATTGCTCAAGATCTTAGCCTCGAGATCACTAGATTAATATTTCAGAGTGTGTGAAATGTTTGAACATAGTCTAATATTCAGGTTTGATTTGGAAGCCAAGTTTCTGCAGTTCGTAATTTAAGGTTAAATTTAAAGCGTGTTTGACAATTTCCCTCAATCTTAAATTTTAAGGCAATGATCTTTAGCCCTAAGAACACAAGGCTTTGTGGGGCCCTGATCACCATCTAGAAACCTGTGCTGGGAGACTGAGTGAGAACAGGATCGGATTTGGCTGCGATACCTCACCTCCATAGCCCTCACTCTCCTCAAGACTCACACATTAATAAACATTGCTTGGACAAGGCATTGGAAGAAGCCTGAGGAACTGTGGTGAATTGGAAGGAAAAGTGGATGAAGAAAAAACACCATGAGGAGGATGGTGGAGGAGAAGAAAATGGCCAGAGACAAAAAAGCATCTGCTGCACATTCCACCTCTGAATACTGATTCTGTCTGTTTCATTTATTCAGTCGCATCAATTCTTTCACAAAACACCAAACAATTACACTTTTCATCCTTTAAACAAATAACAGTGTAAACAGAAACCTAGGGGAGGACATTTTGCGTCAAAAGGTACAGTATAGGCCTAGAGGTAAGTCAGTGTCAATGAAGGAACTAACAGTCTACATGCAGGAGTTGTGCTCTGGTGCACAATCCTGTTTAAACAAAATCTGGTTTATGTTTACAACATTAAGGGAGCTTAAAACATTGACGCACTGACTAGGTTTCATTAATGACTTATTCCAGGCCATTGAGCTACATCGAGGTTTAATGAATTGAGATCTGGCAGATTGGGTCATTACTCAAGTCATTTGACTTGTTGCTTGTGGGATTTATCTGCCGTGTTTGTCCACATTAGAAAATTCTAGATCACATCTAATTTTATGAATTATGTCCAGATCATCTTCCTATTTTCTTTAATTATGGTTAATGCGGACTCCATCTGTTATTGCTATTCAAACAGCAGCAACAACAATTTATATTTCTGTAGTCTTTTCATGTTGAGTGGATGTCTCAAAATTTTTCATATAACTAAGTGGGAGTGGAGCTGAGTTGGGGGGGGGGGGGGCAATGGCCAAAAGGGCTATCGAGAAGATAAGTCTCCAGGAGGGTTTGAAGATGGGGAGGGAGAGGGTGAGGTGGAGGGATGGAATTTCAAGGAGCGGGGGCATAGTGGATGAAAGCTCACTCACTGCTGGTGGTAGAGTGGGGGCAAGGCTATGGAGAGAGTTGAATGCGAGGACAAGAATTTCAGATCTTAAATTGAGGTGGACATGAAATGACCAACCTGCCTTTACTATTTCAAAGAAACATGAAGCCTTTCTCCCAGGTAACCTGTGTTAGATTCCCCTCTTAATCAAATTACAGTCAAATCACTTGATAATATATTCTGTGCAGCATTTTGAGATGTCTCAACGACGTAATAAGGCTCTGCATCAAATGTAAGGATTACTATATTATTAAATTTGCCCTCAAAATCGAATTAACTGAATATTTTATAATAATCCTTGCATTTGGCATAGCACTATATCATGTCATAAGGACGTCTCAAAGTGCTTCACAGGAATTTCTGCGAAATGGAGGGACTGTGTATTTGCAGGCAAATGCATACATTATCATATTATTGCATTGTTGCTGGCACAGATCACCTGAGAAATTCACTTCTTAACAAAGGCGACAGCAGCATTTCACTACTAGGTGAGAGGGTTTAAAGTGACTGGTGCTTAACATAAATAAAGTGTAAAAATGACCACTTTAGATAAATGATTGTGAGATTAGGAATTACCAATGTGAGTTGAATACGATGTGTTGTGCTGCAGTACTTTAAACCCATGCATTAAGAGGGACAGAATACTGCATTTATTGTCCTGCACTTAACAGAGAGAATGGCGGCAAAAGAATTAACAAAACATCCTGGCTTTTAAACATTGCAGATTGTTTGGCAGCTGATCTGTACTTATAAAACTATCTCGCTGGTCCAGGTGCAGTGGAATGCTCCTTAGAACATGGCTTGCCATGGGATGATCTAGTGTGTCAAGCGACACTTTGCTAATAGCCCCATTACTAATAAATAATGTAACACAGGTTCTTCATAACACAACCTCACTCCAAGTGGAGTTTTGCATAGTTTCCAGAGACAGTGTTGCTAAGAAGTTGCAAAAGGTATTATGGAAATATTTCTGATCTTCCCACTATCCCCCACCCCACAGACACACACATAAGTGCATTGCAAACACATACCTGTCAAAACTCAGGGTGTAAGCTTAAAGACAATAATGTACTGCCTTGTATTTGTCCTTGGGTGGTTTTGGGAATGCTATTGTGATTCATAGCAGTGGCTGTATAGAAGTCATTGCAATACCAAAAGGTTTTTATTCTACCTGGTGATGGATAGTCATAATACCAGTAATTCTTGCATTTGATATAGCCCTTTATCACATCAACCAAACATTTCAAAGCATTTCACAGCTGTATTTGTAGAGGAAGGCAGCGGACAATTTACGCATAGCAATGTCCCCCAAACAGCCATGAAGTGATTGATGCATGGGGGATTGTTGGCCAGGACACCAGGAGAAACTCCTTTCTCTTTTCAAAAACATCCCTGCGGGATCTTTAACATCCATCTGGACAGGGCAGTGCTTTAACTCTTCATCCTAAGGAAGGCATCATTGACAATGTAACTTTCCCCCAGAATTGCACTGAAGTGTTAGCCTTGACTATGAATTCAAAGTCCCAACATGGGGCTTGAACCAACAAATTTTTGACTCAGAGGTGAGAGTGCCATCAACTGAGCCAGGCTGACACCCTATAGGACATAGTCAGAAGTGCTTTCCTTTTTCTTCACAAGCTCAGAGAAGGATATTTTTGATAAAGCACGTGTACAGGGGTTTCCCTGGCAAAATCTCTTTGTTTATTTCCAGGAGCGAATCACCAGACACAGGTTATTGTACTTGTCAAGCACTCCCCACTCCCTGGCGAGAGACTATGTGTGTGTGAGAGAGAGACTGTGTATGTGACAGCCTGTGTTTGGGTAACAATACTCATGTGATTTGAGTGTCAAGGGCAGCGTCGTGAGGGGAGCAGGCAAACCACAAGCAAAGTACACAGAATGGCTTCATAGTGCAAAGAATATAAGCCCGCACAGTCATTAGTTGGTCAACACTGCTTCTTATGGTAACAGAACACACCTTTTGGTAGCCATAGGTCCGTGGAAGGTTTCAAAACCATGTTGATCTGGTCCCAGTCAAGGTCATCGTCTTCGGTTGCCTGACTGTAACCACATTCATTGAAAGATGTATCAAAGGTACAGCTACCTGCAGAGTCAGAAGAGGGAGATAATAATTAATCATAATAATCCTTCCTTTTGATATAACACCTTTTCACATCGTTTAGGCATCTCAAAGCGCTTCACAGAATATGTTGTAAGGTGAATTGACTGGGTATTTTGTGGGCGAAGGGCAGCAGCCAATTTTGCACAGCAGTGTCCCACAAACAATCATGAACTGAGTAACCAAATTTTTTTTTTTTGAGGGGGAGGTGGTGTGGGGTAGGGATTCTTACCCCCGGAAAGCGATCTGCCAACCGACTAGCAACTGGGCTCCTACTTACTGCGAGGTAAGCAGAGGCGTGTTGAGTAAGGAAATCTTCCTAAGGTTTCGACCTGCCCAGGAATCAAATCCAGGTCCTCTCGCTCATTAGGCGAGCATGCCACTATGCTTTGGAACTCCACCCAAGCATTGCTTCAAATCTATGTATCTCATCATTCAGAATTTATAAATCCTCATAACTGAATGATTGGGCTGTCCTGTTCTTTACCCCAAGATGACTGAACGACTAAAATATGAAGTGCATCTGCACAAACACTTTCGAGACACTGCCTGAAATGAGCAACTCACTCGGAAGACTATAATCCCTTCCGGAGCACAGTACATCTACTTAATAATTGTCATCCTTGTATTTTATACAGTGCATTATCACATCAACGAGACGTCACTCAAAGTTAAATTAAGTTAACTCAAAGCACTTCACAAGATTTCACTGTGAAGTACAATGAAATAAGGTTAACGCTATATCTGTAGGGCAACACATCAGCCAATTTGCACACAGCAATGTTCCACAAACAGCCAACAAGTGAATGGCCACTTTTATTTGAGGGATTATTGGTCTGGACACTGGGAAAAACTCCCTTCTGTCTTTGAACAGTGCCATGGGATCTTTAACATCCACCTGAACAGGCAGACGAGATCTCAGTTTAACGTCTCCTCTGAAGGACGCACCTCTGACAATGGAGTGCTCCCGGCAAAATTGTATTGGAGTGTCAGCCTAGACTGTGAGCTCAAAGTCCCTATGTTGGGCTTCAACCTAAATGAACTACCAACTGAGCCCAGCAAAAAAACACAAGGAACAATTCACGTGAGTCCATGAATCCCGCTCTTTCCACAGCCCGCACCAAGCCCTCCCCTATTGTGGATAATCTCAAGAACAATAGAATCGCCCAATAAGCCACAATTGCATTTGGGAGTAACTCTACGTGTGAAAGAGTGAACACTCTGTATCCATCCGTCTTTGTCTGGAATCTTGGTGTCTTGTTTGACCCTCAATTATCCTTTCTATCCCACATCCATGCCATGACCCGCTCTGCCTTCCCCACCTCCATAAAATCGCCTGGCTCCACCACTGTCTCACAACGCAGGCTGCCGAAACCCTCATATATATCATTTATAACATCGAGGCTTGACTATTGTAAACTCCTTGCTTGTTGATCTCTCCAACTCCTTCCTCCCAGGCTGCAGATCATCCAGAACTCTGCAGCCCATGTCCATTCCCACACCAGGCTTCATGACCCTATCACCCCCATCCTTGCCCGACTTTACTGACTTCCCATCACACAGAGGATACAGTTCAAGATCCTGGTCCTCACTTCCTTTTTTCAGCCCCCCCCCACCCTCCTCAATCCTGACTCCCTGCTCGGGTCTGAAACACTGACTGTCCAGCACCTTAGGATGTCCTCCCGATGTGAAAGGTGCTATACAAATGTAATTTTGTTGTTGTTGTCCCACATCTGAATTTGCATGGTGAACCATATTCAGATGTCACACTGCCTGCTTGGAAGGATTTTAAGTTTAATAGTAACTTCGTTGGCAAGCAAAGAAACATTTACAGTGGGAACATCTTGGAGTGTGCTAAAAGGCTTTCCAACTTTCACTTGATATGATTCCGTTTGATTCTTCCACTTCTAATAAATGTAGACCGAACCATTTAGCAATGGGCACATTTTCTCCCCTGACATTTAAAGTGAAAAGCTTTCCAGGAGGCCTCCATTATAATGAGCAAATCTTTCAGGGCTTTGGCTCCCATTGGATGTTGTCCTAGTGACTGTGGCCAAGCAAGCTGTGTTGCTGGTAATCCTAAATTCATCCTTAAATCATGTCCGAGAGCAAAAACTAATATTCAGCTCCCCTATCGCTCACCTCAGTCCTGGTTTCCTTGTTGAGATTCATCCTTAGAGTACTTTTAAAATGCTTATTGGAGCATGGTGTATTTCCACTACGCCAGTGGAGTGTCACTGATAAACCAATCCACTTTGCTGCAGTGACGATTGGTTTCAGTCAAATAATATAAGAAAGAGCTTCCATCCACAAAGCTGAGCAGACATAACCCTGACTGACAGAGGGAACCACACAGAAGATTTGTTCCTACTTGTATTGCAACTGAAGCCAAAGTATAGCTATGAAAGGAAGGTGGCTCACAGATGCACTTACTGTGTTCTTTGGCCATGACAAGAGATATTGTGCACACGCAAATGTTAAAAGAGGCTGAAGATTATCATTTCTCAGCTTATTAATAAGACTGTTGCTTCACCATATTTCTAAGACCACACTACCAATTCAAAGCAACAGCAGCTCAGGTAATTGTTGTGACAGAAAATCAGGGCGTATTGTGAAAGTCGCAGAAACAAAAAAAATGTCAGCACTCAAAGGTTGGCAAGTGAATTTGAGTGTGATTGCAGAGGAGGGCTTCTGTAGTAACTCGACCGCACAGTGTGCAATTTCAAAAAAGAAAATTAAATGTTCTCAATAAGCGTCAGGAACATGGACGTTTCTGGAAAATATCAAATGTCAGGCTTTCTTTGTAAGATGTGCATTATTAAATGGTGGCTTGTATCATAATGGGTACCGCAGTCCTCAGAGGAAATATTAAACTGTAGACCTAAGGAATGCAGAATTGAAGTCAAATAAGATAATAATGCTAATAATAATAATACTTGCATTTGATATGGTGCCTTATCAACATCGTCGAGATATCTTAGAGACTCACAGGAATTTTCGTAATAATATTAGGGTCTAAGTTATAATATTAAGCGCTCTGAGATGCTGCCCACATGAAGGGCACGATATAAATGCAAGGTGTTGTTGTTGAAACCTATCTCTTTAACCATGCCTGTAGTCCCCCTACTCCCCTTCCCTTGCTCAGTGTCCATCCCATCCCTATAAGTCTCAAAGCGCTTCACAGGATACACTGTAAAGTCGATTCATGACCTCGGAGATGTTGACAATCAATCCTGTTGGTAAAACAGCTGTAGGTTACAGCCAACCCCATCAATTGTCATTTTGCCAATTGGCAACTCGTGGGCCGTTATTCACGAGTTTGTTTGTTTATTTCGCAGGGTACAACAACAACTTGCAATTATATAGCACCCTCCACACAGGGTAGCATCTCAGAGTACTTAACAGTGGCGGAGCATGACTCCTAAGCCGGGGGGGTTGGGGAGTTGGGCGTAAGCATGGTCGAAGAGGAAGGTGGGACTTAAAAAAGGGGAGGGGGCAAAGCAGAGAGATTAAGGGAGAGTGTTCCAGAGTTTCGGGGGGTAGTGACTGAAAGTGCAACCTCTGATGGTGGAGCGGTGGGTGCGAGGTTCACGCAGGAGGCCACTGCCAGTTGAGCGGAGTGCTGGGTGGTGGATTGGGGAGTGAGGAGGTCGGAGAGGTAGGGAGTGCCAGAGAGTGAAGGGATTTGAATGAGTTGTGGATCTTGAAGTCGATCCGTTCGGTCACGGGGACCCTGTGGAGCTGGGCCAGACTTGGTGAGACGTGGGTACGGAGTTTGGTCCAGGGAAAGAGAGACAGTGATTTCAGCAGTATCACATCAATTTGTTCTGGCCTTGTTCAGCTGAAGATATCTTTAAAAAAAAGAAGCTGGCTATAAATAAGCACGTCAGTTGCAGCCTTGAAAATGAATTATTCTTTGGTTCATTCTCAGTCTCTGAGCTTAAAGGGGTAGCACTTGGCAAACCACTTTCATCTTCACTAACCCATACTGTGAAGATGCAAATCCCTTGAAACGCATGTCATTGGCGTGTAACATGATTACAATGCAACTGAAGCATGTGTGTTGCAGACGAGAGAGTCAGATCTGCACCCATGTTTATGCTCTAAGTAACTTTCACTACACTTGGGGAGGGAGGAAGGGAGGGAAGGGAATGTGTGGGAGTAAGCAGGGTCACCTCGTGGATGAGCTGGTGAAATCAAATTAACCCTCTGTTGCGGTCTCAGTAGTCTGGTTCCTGAGCTAAGCAGGTCCACAGTACTCCAGGGCATTGCTGATGACAGACGAGCCAGCTTGGCTCGTTGGTAGGAGTTAGACACTGAGTGCAAGGATTCCTCCCAAATTCTGACAATCTTAATTTTAATATGAAGTGGTCTTTGAGGCTAAAGGTAGGTGGGGTTACGGGCCTTGAAAGGAGAAAATTTTGACGAGAAACAGGGGAAAGAAACTTTATAATTTATAATCCAAGGCGAGGGGGGAGCGGTGGGGGTGAGGTGTAAGGAGACTCTATTAAAATAAATCTGAAGAAACATACATGGGGGGGAAAAGAGTTTAGAAAGCAAAGTTCATCCACACCCAGTTGCTGGAGTATATGACTGCATTTTCTGGCACACTTTTACCTACAAATAAACAGTGACGTTGTGATAGATAGTTGCTTTCAACAACTGCTTTCAACAACTGTGGCAGGAGAGAGGTTCTCAGGTTCCAAAACAATAGTAAGAAAAGGTTGCCACCCATTTCCTTGTCCTTTGGTTGACATCCGCAGAATTAAACTATACTGGTTTAAATTGCCACTGCTTAAATGACTTGACATTAAGTCTGAACGCTGAATCAATTACCTTTCCGCACCAGGCATAGCTTCTCTCAGCATTGAGTAATTGCGTTAATATAAGAAATCACATTGGTTGGAGGAAGTACAGTCTAAAGTTAGCACCGCA